TCAAGGTGGTCCACTACAACGATGTGCAAATCTGTCGACAGTGTGTTGTGTCAGTGTGTTGAACTCCCAGATTTATGACCAGGCACTTTTAGAAGACGCGGTGACAATGTGATCAATGTTCAGGAAAGCCAAGAACTGGAGCAGTTGGCATTTGACGCGTGGATGCCTCTACCACCGATACGACAGCATCGATTTACAGGTCTTCAAATGAATTAACTTTGGTCTGAATTTGGCCAGTACAAATTGCAATGTACTTGGTTTTTAACTGAAATACAAATGAGCAAGTAACCAACATTTTAACCGTTTCTTTGACTCTGAAAACTATTTATTCAGGATGAATTCGTTTCCATCGAAATGGGTGGCAAAAAGGTCATTTGTGGAAGTTCGTTTTCAGCTTAGACCTACGCTCCACGTGGTTATATTTTGAGGAAATATATCGACTTCACTGTGGCATAAGCTTGAAAGTTTAAATTTGAGTTAACCAAGTAAAAAGGTGCAGCATATGTCGAGGTTAGTGCACTCAAACGTTGTGCTCCAGTCTACAAGCGAGATAATTGCAAATTTTCCGATTTGAACATTGTCACCTCACAGAAATTGTTGTGAACTAGTTTTACATTCTGGAATTTCTTGTTGCTCTATACATGCTATCTTTTCGTGAAACAAAGCTGTCGGCAGTTGATATTTAGAGGTGTCAATCAGAATTTAGAAAACAACCATTTGGAGGTTTTTGAAGGAGTCAATTAGCAGCAAGCGCGGTTTTAAAAAATGGCCTGGCCTTCATTATCAAAGTAGCCAGTTGGCCCAAACGCACTTCATGTTAAAAACTACAACAAGCCCAGCGTTGGCAAACGGAAGCCAGTGCATTTTGAGCACAAAAACGGGATTCCGCCCATAGCTTGTCCTCAAAACTGGTGCACTTGTTTATGGAACGTTTTAGCCTGTGCCAAGGCAAATGCATTAAATGCTCCATCACCATGGAAATTTTAATTCTAAACCGCATTTTTGTGCCTGAAGTCTCAAAAATGCACCAAATTTCGGCAAAAATAGCTGTACAAATAAGGAAATTGCTTTTCTTACGCAAAATCCGGCCAAGTCTTCAGCGTGTCCGACGCCCCCGTTTTCGTAGGCGTTTGAATCTCGAGGCAGGGTGGAATAGACTGCAAATAAAACGGTAAAGATGCTTGGTAAATTACAAAAAAGTACCTCAATTCTGCTCCCTACCTTCCGCTCAGAGTAATCGCGATTAAACTAATTTTAATCTGGCCATTCAATAACAGGTATCCAGTCCATTTGAAAACAAAGCTGACGTCTTATTTTTTTACGAGTTTTTGGCGATTTACTAGCCCTTAATGCTTTTTTTAGATACCAAAATCGACGGGATTCGTGGGCCTTGAATCGACACCTTGATTTATCGATTATTTGATGTTTGTTTAAATTGCATTCCTAATTTTAGCAAAAAACTTGAAAAGGAAACACTATTCGAATGAAAATACGGTTTATTTGTGTACTGCTTTGTAATTATAGAAGGTGAATGTGACAAGAGTCGTTTGTTATAACATAAGTGGAACACGAATCAAAAATAGACAGTTTACTCAGAAAATAATTGATTAAAATCGATTTTGCGCCAAGCCAATATTTCATATTTCAAGTTACAACAACTTGCAGTTATTCGTAGAACTATTAACTCATTTTCATCCTAATGAAGCCTTCGTGGATTAAGTCAGTCAAATTCCAACCAATCATTTTTTTAATATTTTTTTTTTCATTTTTTTTTGTTTGAATCACTGCCGTTTCTGCACACGTGGTATCAATTTCCACCAATGCTGTACAAAGTAATTACGGAGCTAGGATCATCACACTGATTCGTTCACCTCGACACACTCAAAGCAAATTTATGAAATAAGCATATGCTGTGGGGTGTGCGTAATGAAAGTTGGTGCAGCGTTTAATTTGGGCAGAATCGGACAACATACCTGCAAGTGGTGTTAACCAGATGTCAACGAAGAGAAAATTTTTGGTTTGTCCCTGAGTTCCAACAATCTGTCCATTCCTGAGTTTCAATTCAGCTCCCAAGGCTACCCACGCTGGGTGTCGAGACTGGGAGAAAAATGAAGCGATTGACAGAAACTGCGCTGCAGACTATTCAACTGCGAAATTTCTACCAAGTAATCGTCTGGGTAGAAAAATCTGTGAAAATTACCGGCCTGATTTCCGGTTAATTAACTGCAAGAGGTTGGTGCTATGATGGGGCTCAAATTACTGACCTTTAGAAGAGATTAAATAACTTTTTATTAAATAAAAGTGAAAAGTGGAGCTCTAGCGACATGTTAAAGTGCCGAAGCACTTTTAAATTACCACCAAATTCTAAGGTGCGTCATCGTGGACCCACTAACTGGAAGGTTATCTCTCTTCTTGTCTTGGTAAATTATGTGGCAGCATACGAGACAAGGCCTGACCAGTACAAACTAATTTGGAATTTAGTACTTTAGACAAAAACCTTGGCAACTCACCGTGGAATGCTCCTGTCGGACATTTTTAATGGGAACGTAGAATGCACCGATGGTTCTGCGGCGAAGGAAACCCTTCAACTGAACTTCCAGAAGGACACCTCCCTCAAGACTGTCGAGTTCACTAAGGCGAACAGAAAAGTACATAACGCACTCTCCACGTGACCTCACAGTTTTGGGCGATGTGATCAGGCAAGTTTGAGAAGTAACTCAAATTACGCGCTTGCGGTGATCTCTTTTCTACATTTTTATGATTCCGCGCTGCGTGTGCATTGCAATTGTCTGCAATGTAGGCCAACAGTTAGTCCCTGGACAATAAATCACAATCTATATTTTGGTCACGTAAATCTTTGATGTTTGAATCCTGCAAAAAATAATCTGAAAATCAACTAATGATCGCAAATGAGTGGATTATAATAGAGTATTAATTAATGTTAACTAATTAAATCAAATACCTGTAATTTATTTTGGGTCTTGTAGGTTTGTACAATGAAAATAATGCTGCCCATGAAATTTAATAAACCATCACCATTCGTACAATTACAATTTGGTACTATAGTGCTTAAATAAACGCAGTTCTAGGTACCCACGACTAAATAATTCCAATCATCTGATATTTTAGTTGTATAATAGTCAGGATAATGTGTCAAACATAAAAGTACTGCCTTATCTTATCTTAAAGTCGATAATTTATATTAAGACACGTTATTAAGTGGTTACACGAACGAATCATCTCATTTTACTTGCAAAAAAAGCGATTGAGTAAATTTAATTCTAAAGGGGCTGCAAAATCAATACACAGCAATAACCTGTCCCCATGCTTGGTAGAAGTATATTTTAACATCCTTTTCCCCTTTAAATCATGCCAAGTTACATTAATATCTCTTTCTTCAAAAGATCGTACTTATAGTGCTTTGTTAAATTATTAAGGGGTATTTATAAAAATGTTTTAATAAACCTAATTAAGAGGTGGCAAGTATCAAGATGATTGAAAAAATTAATACCTCAAGGTTATTTTGCAGAATGTTTAAAAATCTTTTAGGGAGTTACAACCAAAATACAATTAAAGCAGTAATAAAATATCATACTATGAGAATTCCTCATTCCATACGGGCTTGCAACCAACTAACGTCCGAGTGAACGACCTCGCTCCATTTATGTCAAGCGCCACAAAAACCGCGACAGAATTGTTGAACCCGTGGAGTCGGGCTTCTTTAACTTAAAAAAGCAAGATTATCAGATAACTCACACAAACGCAAGTTTTATGTAATTGCCTATTCTTTTTAATTTTAATAAGGGTCATCCGTACAATAATAAATAGGTTAGAAAAGTGTCTTCAACATATGTTGGAACAACAAGTTGTAGCTTTCAACCTTCTAAAAGATGTAAAAAACTAGTGGTGCTAAGTAATCATTTTCCAATATCCTCAGAGCATTGCTGCGTCAACGCATATCCTCAAAGTGTTAAATATTATAAACATGTTAGCGTGTTCTTGGATAATAATTTGCATTTCACAATAAAAGTGGAAATTGCTAACTAGGACATTTATCTAAATAATTGATACCAAAGCAAAAAATTATACAGTATTTCCTTAAAATAATGACACACAGCCTGCTACACCGAAAACGATAGCATGTTTTAAAGGTGACAATTGTACCAAAACGTCCAATTACAGAATACAAACCAAAAACCAATACTACAGAGTACAAAAGCATTTTAAAAATTTAAATTAGAAGGCTTATTACTGTAAAATGTAAAATAATTTATGTAATCTGAGAAAAAAATGCTATAAGCAACTCCAAACACATTCATTTCAATATGACATTCTCCTGTTATAAACAAATGTTTAAAAACTTACTTTCAATGCATAAGATGGACATCACAATCAGAAAAATACGAAAGTCCCATAACGATGCGACACTTAGGACAAAGCTGCCGCAAGCCTATAAAGCCCCGCACATGATGAAACTTTGTAAAATAAAACAAAGCTAAGGTCACAGAAAATATGGCCAAATACCTTCACTTTTTAACAGAAGTAAATTTAATAGTAAAAACTCATGCTTCGTTTATTCATACACATGGTGTAGGCAACTTGATATATATGTGTTACTCTTTTACACTCATATTGAACATCAAATCCTTGGTTTCTGTAAATATAGAGACCAGCGCAAATTTTTTCAGCAGAACAATAGCTTTGATGGTTTGCAAGAGAGTTTTAAAAAGTTTTGCTTTTTGCAATATAAAAGGTTCCAAAATCCTTGTTGGGTCTAAAGCTAAATTTTTATCAATTACGTACTGTAGTAAGGGTGGTTTAAAGAAGCAGTTTTCCTACAGTATTGGTTTTAAAGTTAAAATCTTTGTATAACTTGCACGTATGATTTACATCTATTCCTAGTTATAATGGATTTAATTTACTTTTAGTTTTTAAAAATCTAATACGCAAAAATGCTGAAAATCAGCTTATGTAAATGAACTGGTTTTGTATGTGAGAGATTTTAATGCTTTTTTTACTTTTAAATATCCAGATTACATTCTTGTGCTTATGTAACCAAAGTTTTATAATTTTTAATGCTTACTTTATTTACAGCATTTATTAATCATTATTTTAATACATTTTTCACATAACTAAATAGATACTTCAGAGGCAATTGATTTTAGCTAAGATCACTAATTTGTTTTAGGCTTCCTTGTATGCTTTCTTTGGCATATATGTTTAAGAAATCTCATTTCGGTTATATTTTAAAAAACAGTAATCGGAATTTTCAAACTAATGTGTTTGTTCACAATTTTTTTTAGCCTGACATATTAATAAGAATTTGACTTTTTCGTTGTAATTTAATATACCCTTGAACCACGAAATTTTTGATTGTAATACGTTTCTTTTTACTGCCTTAAGTGTCACGAAATATTTGATGTTAATGTTTATAATTGTCAAGGTTAAGGCGCTGATACCAGTTTGCTGCGGCGCTCCTCTGTTCTCTCCTGGGGATGGAGCCCGCTACCGCATTTTGTGCGGATTGCGATGCGAAAAACCCACGATGGGCTTCTGTTAATCGCGGTGTTTTTGTTTGCGATGAGTGCAATTCAATCCACAGGCAATTAGGGCGTCATATCAGCCATGTAAGGTTTCTTGATGGCCTTATCCTCTTTTAGACCAAACACTTAAATAACTCCCTGTGGCGACCTTCCCAGTTGTTTATGGTGCAGTACTTAGCTCTTGCCGGAGCAAATAGGTTTTGGGAGCACATCCTGCTTGAACCACTACTAAATAAGAGGGACGAACCCGTCAAAAATATATCTGGATTTAGTAAAAAGCCCCAACCAGACTCACCACTGCATCCTACCAAGGCAGATTTTATTCGGGAAAAATATTTATTTCATGGATTCTTTAAGCGTCCTAATGTTGTTCGTCTCGATGATCTCAACCAACAGTTGCATGCCAGTGTTCGAACTGCAGTGCTGGAGACCAGCCTCTATCTTCTGGCCTTAGTAAGTCATGTTAATGTCCATTTTAATGCAAAACTCTGTTTTCTTTTGTTATTTATTTACGCGCAACATTTGTTTGGCAATTTGATTGTGGAATTATATTCCATAAACCACTCTTCTAGGCGTTTATTACCAACTTATGATTTCTTTTAACTCTCTTTATTAAATTCTACAACAGACCATTGTGTTTATACATTTAAGTCGTTGTGATACCATTTTGCCATCTTATTTACAAGTCTGATTGCCAGTGTTTATGATATCTTAAAATCTTCACCCAATTGTCTAGTTAATGGATTTGTGTATTTTTACATTGAAGGGAGCAAATCCTAACTTCATCCACCCCATCAAAGGAACATCCCCGGTGCACGTGGCCTGTCAGTACGAGCAGATCGGTCAGTTGGAATTACTCATCGCCTATGGTGGGGATGTTTGTTTGCGCTCCGACAAGGGCATAACTCCGCTCGAGGTGAGTTTTTTGTGTCGGAGGCCTTCAAAATGCTCTGTCCACTTCCCTAGCACCAAAGCATACTGTTTTAGGGCTGCTTTTTAGCTTTCTTACACCAGTTAAAACAGCCGTCCAAGTAGGCGTTTTTTAATATCTCATATTCTGTCTGGATGATGCGTGTGCTAAACACGTAGCCAGGTAAAAATTGGAACAGCGGGTCAATTGTACGATCTCTAAATTTTAGGATTCCAGTGAAGGGTGTCACTGTTTATGCTGTTTTGCTCCCAAATCTTTTCATATTCTTTTTGCATTTTAAGTATTATTTGTGACTCAATATTTCTTAAGCCTGACAATTAAACTGATGTTTTCCAGCATCGTATTATTCGCTTTAACACACAATTTAATGTCGGTCCCTGTTTTTCACGCTAAAACACTAGTCTCCAATCAATAGCCTGCTTTGTCATAATATGATTTGGTTTAGTCTTTGGATATTACCGTTTAATTCCACTATCTTCGACTCACCTTAAGTTTATTATTGAACATTGCTATGGCATATGCAGTTGTCCTCAATCAAAGTAGAGGAGGCGATTTCTATTATTCATCTGTCTCACAATATCACTGTTGTGTCGATGATTTATTAGCACAGAGGTTTCAAGCATTGTTTCAAATTCTGCTGTATAAATTTTTACAAATGCCTCTCGGTGATCATTGTCAACGCTTCAACCCAACGTGCACACCCACTTACAGTTCAACTGCCTTGTAATTAGACGGTCGTGCTCCAAGACGAAGGCTCATCGTCGAAGGTTCCAGCGCCAATCAAAATGCCGGTTTTTGTTTTAATCTGACCCATTAATACCCGTCAAAAACAACTGAAATCCATAGTCATTCGGAGCTTTGTGTTAGGGTCGTTAGGTTGTAGTGGCCTCACTTACGTGCGATCGATGATAATCCGCTGCAAGGGTATAGAAAATGGCGCTATTACTTAGCATTAGTTCTCAGCATCGTCAAGATTGGTTACTCCAAGCCAAAGCCAGCACAATTAAGGTCTGTTAGTAATGAAAAAGTAATTTTCCTCCCATTGCTTCCTTCCTGCTAGGTTTGTTTTCTTTTGCCAGTTGCCCGTGTCGCACTGGCCAGTGATTGATGGCACCTTCTACCTTCTAGTTTGCATTGCACGGTGGATTGGTCTAAG